CTGATAGAAGTCATTTTGACAAGCTCATAGTTAACATCATAGTGGAGAATAACCAGAATCATTTCCACTTAGAACTGGAACCAAACATGAATGTCCACTGTCACCACTACTATTCAACATAAGTATGTTTGCATGGCTATGTCTGAAGGCATAGCCAATGTAATCAGACAAGAAAAGGCTATCAGGGGTATTGTAATGGGGACAGAGGTGGTCAAGCTATTGCTCTTTGCTGATGATATAATCATAGACAACCCCAAGAACTCAGTGTTGAGACTCCTGGAAGTGACTGAGAAATACAGAAATATCTCAAGATGTAAAATTAATGTCCACAAATTAGTAGCCTTGATATCTGCCAACAACAGCTGATTGTAGAATATCAAATCAAAGATACAGTTCTCTTCATATTAGCTTCAAAGAAAATTAAATACCTTGGAATATATTTAACAAAAGATGTGAAGGATTTCTATAGAGAACTAGGAAACATTGAGAAAAGAAACAGCAGAGAATGTTAACAGATGGAAGAACTTACCGTGCCCATGGCTTAGAACAGCTGTCCTCAAACTATGGCCCATAGGCCACATGCAGCCCGCCTAGGACATTTATCCCGCCTGCCCGGTTTTTTTGCCACCACTGCCTGTCCTGCTTAGCAGCCAACTCGTCCAGGGGCCCGCAGTCCGGCCCTCCAATGGTCTGAGGGACAGTGAACTGGCCCCCTGTTTAAAAAGTTTGAGGACCCCTGGCTTAGAAGAATGAACATTGTAAAAATGTCTACACTACCCAAAGCAACCTACAAATTTAATGCAATCTGCATTAAAATACCAATGTCATACATTGAAGATCTTAAAAAAGTAGTTATATGTTTTGTCAGAACCGGAAAAACCTCTGTATAGACAACATAATTCTACAAAATAAGAACAAATCTGGAGATATTAATTTACCAGACTTCAGGTTATACTGCAAGTCTATAGTGATCAAAACAGCATGGTATTGGCATAAAAACAGCAACAAAGATCTGTGGGACAGAACAGAGAGTCTAGAGAAGAAATCAGCCTCATTTTTCCATCTGATATTTGGTAAAGCAAACAAAAGCGTACACTGGGGAAAGAATCCATATTCAGTAAATGGTGTTTGGATAACTGATTAGTCACATGAAAAAGACTGAAATTCACCACTTAACAGAACTTAACTCATGATGGATAAAGATTTAAATCTAAGACATGAAACTATAAAACCCTAGAAAAATATGTAGGAAGAACTTTTTTATTTGAGAAAGAGTCTTACTTTATGCCCTGGGCAGAGTGCCATGGTACCAAAGTCCATGCAACCTAAAACTCCTAATTTTGAGAGGTCCTCTTGTCTCAGCCTCCCAATTAGCTGGGACTGCAGGTGCCCGCCACAATGCCCAGCTAATTTTTCTCTTTTAGTGGAGATGGGGGTCTCACTCCAGTTTAAGCTGGTCTCAAACATCTGACCTGAGGTGATCCACCCACCTGAGCTTGCCAGAAGGCTAGGATTATAGGAGTAAGCCACCATACCCAGCCAGAACTCCTAATCTTATCAGCCTAGGGGAAGAATTTATGAAAAAGGCCCCACTGGCAATCACAGCAACAACAAAAATAAATAAATTAGATCTATTCAAGTTAAAAAGTTATTGTACCAATAAGGGCATAATAAAGCAAAGAGACAACTTTCAGAATGGGAGAAGATATATACCTGCTACAAATTTGACAAAGGACTAATAGCCGGAATCTACAAAGAATGCAAGCACATCAACAAGAAAAGAGCAAACTGAGCAAGAGCCATAAATAAACTTTTCTCATAAGGACAGACAAATAGCCAACAAATTCATGAAAAAATTCTCATTGTCCCTAATCATCAGAGAAATGCAAATCAAAATCACTTTGAGATATCACCTAACCCCAGTGTGAATGGTGTACATCACAAAGTTCCAAAGCAACAGACAGTGGCATGGGTGTGGACAGAAAGGAACACTCCAGTGCTGTTGATGGGACTGCAAACTAGTACAGCCTTTATGGAAAGAAGTATGGTGATTTTTCAAAGAACTAGAAGTAGGCCTCCCATTTGGTCCTGTAATCCCATTACTAGGTAGCTACCCAAAAGAAAAGAAGTCATTTTACCATAAAGACATTTGTGCTAGAATAGAATGTTTATGGCAACACAATTGCAAAGATGTAGAAACAACCCAAGTGCAACACATAAATGGATTAATAAATCTTGGTATATGTATACCCTGGATTCAGCCATAAAAAGATGCACATTATATTTTTTATCTTTTGTAGCAATTTGGATGGCTCTGGAGAACATTCTATATGAATTAAGTATATCTCATAAGAATGGAAAAACAAGCATCACATGTATTCAGTACTAACTTAAAACTTATAGATTAACAACTACATGCTCATGTCAGAGAAAAACTCAATTAAATTCCAGTAGGGAGGAGAAAGAAGGCAAATGGGTTGGGTGGGGTAAATTCACACCCAACAGGTACATTGCATGGGCGTATGGGACACTTCCTGAGTGAAGTACACAACTACAATTATTCAAACCTTAACCGTACCAAAGCAAACTGTGTGACCTCATATTAACCTGAATTTTTTTTAAATTGATTCACAAGGTATAAGGAAGTTACATGCAAACTCATAGAATTTGTTTAAATGAAGTTTATTAGTTACATTACCTATGAACGAAAGTTGCATAAAGGTTAATGTAGTGGTTTTGTTAAGAACTGGGATTATGATGAGTAGTTTGCAAATAAAGATTCTTTTTTTTTTGAGGCAAAGTCTCATTATGTTGCCCTCAGTAGAGTGCTGTGGCATCACAGCTCACAGCAACCTCAACTCTTGGGCTTACATAATTCTCTTGCCTCAGCCTACCAAGTAGCTGGGACTACAGGCACCTGCCACAATGCCCAGCTATTTTTTTGTTGCAGTTGTCACTGTTGTTTAGCAGGCCCAGGCCGGGTTCTGGGGTTGGTGCCCCTAACCTCTGAGCTACAGGCGCCACGCCTAAAGATTCTTAATACAACAAATCCTTTATAGATTTGAGCTTTATATTTTTCCCAATGGGAAAAATTTGATTTGAGCAAAAGTTTTCACATTTTAATAAAGGTAATTTTTTTCTCAAATTTTAACATTTAGAAGAAAAATGTATAAAACAAAGTATTAAATTCGACAAAATCATTTATGACTTTAAGATTGAATAAAATAACAATAGTGGAAAATTCATTAATTTGTCTCAAATGGAAAATAGCTTTATTTTCTTCTATATGACCCTAAATAATAATTTTAATTATTTTTTCAGTTGTGAAATTATATAGACCTAGCTGTAATGCAGATGAGTTCTACAAAAATTTTTAATGTTAGAGTCTACAAAGTTGTTTATTAATATTACTGATGTTTAAAGATAGCTCAAATCAGAATAATATATTGAAATGTAAGTTTCAAAATAGAACCGAAATTAGTAATTACTAATGTTTGAGTGTTTGTTGCCTTTCCTTTTGCCAAGGGAGTTAAAAGGATTTCCCTTGATTTCTTCCCTGCCTTAGACTTCTGAAAAGCTTTAAGCCCAAAGCAATTTAGGAATTCAGTGGAACCAGATGGAAGAAAAGTGAGGGGGAGAAGTAACTTTTTTGGAAATTTTGTGGAAAGGGAATGTGGAGAAACTGGGTTCTGAAGAAAGAATGACTTTTAAAACTGTTGTTCCAGAAATAAAAACCAGGAACTTAGATTATTTTGAAGTTAATTTTGATTGTCATTGGGTTCCTCTAGCCACCCCACAGCTTTAGATGAGACAACATGGCTTAAAGGTTTAATAAAGGTGGGAATTGTTAAAAGTTTTATGTTGATGATACAGTTGAAAGTATAGGAGAAGGGAGCAATCTAACCTGAAATTGGAAGGTATTGCAACAAGGCAACATTCATTGGTGTTCCTTTCAATATTTTTGTTAATCAAGATTTGCTCTTTTGTTGTATTAATGAAAAGTTATGTAGCTGATTTATGGCCTATCATTTTTACCACATTAATAAAAATTATATTTATTTTTTTCTCTCTTGGGGGCTGTAAACATGATGTTGGCTTCAGAAAAGGGAATGTAGAAAGAAGTGGATTAAAATTTAATTCCAGTCTGTCTTTTCTATACATAAGACAAATTGCAAGTCTTTTGTCCTGTCATCTGTCACATCCTCTGGTATACTATTAGCCAAATTGCTGGTATTTTCTCTAAATGGAAATATAGAGATTATTGTTAAAGTAACCAGGTGTCAGATCAATTCAAGATTTTAGTATTGACCAACATGGTCTTGCTTTTTTGCTTTTAGGTTTTTTGTTTGTTTCAGCACTCAAAATTAAATCTATCAAGATACCACAAATAAAAGATTTCTTGAATAATCTTTGACATAGTAACTTGTTAGTGAATGGCATTAAATTTTATTTGTATATTAGTATAACCATTACATGCTATTTCTGTTTATAATGTTTCCAGAATGAAAGATAAGGGGTAATTTTTTTAGACTTTTAAAGAAATGTTTCCTTACTTGACTGAACCCTTTCATTATCAATACCTCTATGAAGACATCTGACTTAAGACACCTGGTAATACTTTAGGGCAGAATTGATTGGTCATGTAGGAAAAAAATGGTCTCTTGAGGCTTTTCAGAGGGAACCTAATTATTTAAGGTTAATCTGTCATAGATTAGAAAGATGGACATCAGTGTTTTCTTTCCTCTCTCTGAAAGCAGAAATTAGAAAAATAAATTGGAAATGTAGAAATGGTAAGAATTATGTCATCTTTTCCTTTTATTGGTAATAATGACCTTATAAACGTTCTTTATTATCATTAATATTTAAATCACTTCCTGATAAAAGGAAATCTCAGCTTTACTACTGAAGTGAGTTTAGAAATAAGTACACAGCTAAAGACCTTGCAAACTGGGAAAATGGGTTAACTAGAATCTAACTTTCTGTACATTGTTTTCTTACAGGGAACAAGTCACAAGACAGTGGCATAGCAGAGATGGAAGAACTTCCTGTACCACATAACATCAAAATAAGTAATATTACATGTGACTCATTCAAGATTTCGTGGGAAATGGATTCAAAATCAAAGGATCGTATTACACATTATTTCATTGACCTCAATAAGAAAGAGAACAAGAATTCCAATAAATTTAAACACAAGGTAAAATCTAACAAAGACTCATGTTAATTTGCATCTTAAAAACTTTCCAAGTATGAAGACATTTTGAAAGAACAGTGTTTTGTTAATGAGTTAATATGATGTACTTGACATTGGGAAGAACACACATAAAAATTAAATGGTGATTTAAAAACCCTGTCCCTCTAATAAATTTTATAAGTAAATGCCATGCTTATTTGTTAAAAGATAATTTTTAAAAAGTAAAAGCATGATTGTCATACAGACATAAAAACTAACATGAGTTAATGATTTTATTTAACACATCAATGAGGATGCTGACGAGGTATTACAATAATCCAAAGAAAAGACTCATTTATAGATCCAGTATGTTAAAATGAGAAGTACAAGTGAAGCAAAACTGCTTGGAAGTGGTAGAGGTAAACGAAAGGGGAGGGTTGTTCTCCACAAAATAGAGTTTATTTGCATATATTTAGGCAAAAGTAATTCTATGCTTCTACAGATTATGGAGTAGAAAAATAGCTTCCATAGCAGAAGCAGGTAGGAAGAAGATAGTTTTCCACTGAAGTACATGTTTCTTCTTGTAATACACATCAAAAGAAATCTGATGCAGTTTATAAACTTTAAAGTTATTTGTTAAAACACTTTAGGGCTGAAAATTGCTTTAAGTAGTCAACTTTCTTTTGCTTTTTGTTTTTTGTTTCAAGAATGGAATTTTTTTTTTTTGCCTTTTGCTTTTTTGTTTTGAGAATGAAGAATTGCAGGCTTCTAGAGGTTTTAGATATATAACATTTCTCTAGTATTTATTCACATCTCTACCAATTATATATCTTTTCTGAAACATCTCCCCCCAGCAGTAGCTACAGAGAAGTTAACAATTATCTGCTTTATGTATACTTTCTTATTTTCGTTGTTTTCACTGATGATGACAATATTTTTTATATTGATAGTAAGTTTTAGCTTGGGAAATATTTTGGAAGAACTGTCTTTTCTGGAAATTTTGATTTTTACTAGATGTGTAATTATACATATGAAAGATAAATAAAGATCAGACATATTGCAGGTTAAGTGTGAAAGAGAGAACAAGATTCATCAGTCATTGTTTTTCCCCCGAGTTCCAATTCTAATTATGCTTTCTGGTAATGGATATTATATTTTCTGATGTTTGCCTTCTTGATGCAACTTTGAAATACTTAACATTAAATGACAAATAGTTTAAGGTATGACTGCCTTTCTTTTTTTTTTTTTTGACCAGGGCTGGGATTGAACCTGCCACCTCTGGCATATGGGGCCGGGGCCCTACCCCTTTGAGCCACAGAGCCACCCCAATGACCGCCTGTCTTTCCTACACACTTAGGACTGTCTTCATGAAAATATAGTGAATATTTAACTAGCAGATTTAATTGCCTTATTAATTGTTATTTAGACATACCTAAACTTTCTGTGACACATAGACGCTATACTTGAATAAAAGTGAATCCAGCATTGCCTCATTACTCTATACTTGAATAAAAATGAATCTAGTATTACCTCATTTATATATAAAATACATTCATTTATTTTTAAAGTGTTATTTTTATTTTACATATAAAATACCTAGTGATGGGAAGCCTCTGTTAACATTATTGACTAGTATATGTTCAGCAAATATAATATTTTTAATAGTAAATCTATTGGATTTTATCTATTATGACTATTTTTGAGAATGTTGCTTTCTTAGAAGCAATATAATGTATGTGCTGAGAATACTATACTAGAAATCAAGAAAACTGGAAACCAAGTACATTTATGTTATTAACTAACTGTATGACCTTGAGCATGTCTCTTGATCAGTTGAGTCTTAGTTTTCACATATGGAGAATAAGAAATTAAAATATATCAATTATCAAGTATCTTTAAACAGGAAAATTCTATTGTCAGCTAGGAATTTAGTAAGTTCCTGTTCATTGTTTACAGTTGAGTAAAGTTATACTGCTCAATTAGCTTAATTGATTCTTTCTTTCCTTCTTTTACTCTCTTCCTCTCTCCTTTCCGTCTTTTTTTCCTTCTTAGGATGTTCCAACAAAATTGGTGGCAAAAGCTGTCCCCTTGCCTATGACTGTCCGTGGACACTGGTTTTTGAGCCCAAGAACTGAATATACAGTAGCAGTACAGACTGCCTCAAAACAAGTTGATGGTGATTATGTTGTATCTGAATGGAGTGAAATTGTAGAATTCTGCACAGCAGGTAAGAGAACTAATTACAAATATAGAAAAAAAATATTTAATTGTTCCTGACTGAAAAATTAATGGCAGAAAAAAAATTTCTTATTAAATCATAGCTGTGTACATTACTGCAATCATGGGGTACAATGTGCTAGTTTTACACACAATCTGAAATGCTTTCATCAAACTGGTCAACATAGCCTTCACGGCATTTTCTGAGTCATTGTGTTAAGACATTTATATTCTACACCTAGTAAATTTCACATGTACCCTTGTAAGATGTGCTATAGGTGTGATCCCACCAACTACTCTCCCTCCACTTATCCACCTATTTATATTTTTTGAAACAGAGTCTCACTATGTCGCCCTGGGTAAACTGCTGAGGCATCACAGCTCATAGCAACCTCAAAGTCTGGGGCTTGAGCAATTCCTTTGCTTTAGCCTCCGGGTAGCTGGAACTACAGGCACCTGCCACAACGCCTGGCTATTTTTGTGTTGCAGTTGTTTAGTTGACCTGGGTTGGGTTTGAACCCGCCACCCTCAGTGTATGTGGCCGTAACCACTGTGCTATGGGCACCAAGCCAGAAAAATATTTTTTTGTGATTATGTGGTGATATGTCAAAGCTTTGTGTAACAGAATAAACCATTTTGTATTGATTCAAGGGAACTAAAGTTCTCAGTAGCAAAATCTGGGTAATGGCATCAAATTAACTTTGCTTCATCCATAGTATGATTTTTTTTTCAAAGTGAAAGCTTCACAAATAAAAATAGAGCCAATTTGAAAATGTACTCAGTGTATTTTTGAGCTTCATATTGAGAAGGAGAGATTCATTTTGTCTTTATCTTTTCTCTTTTTTCATTTTTTCATTTTCACAGATATTGAAAGAAGCAAGAAACTTCCTTCTCTAATTTAGAGAGGAAGACAGATCTCAATCACTTTCTCTACCAGAAATGTTACTAGATTTCTCACTTGAATGCTAAAAGACTTTTTAAAAACTCCCTAAACTGGCATCCTGAGTGGGTGTGTGTGTGTCTATGCTTCATTAAAAAGTGCCTCAAAGCCATTTGGCACTGGGAGATCTGATGTGGAAAGCCTGTCCCCTTTGATCTGAACTGTATCTTAATGTTCCATTAGATTGGAAATATTATTCATCTCACTTATCTGTTGTTTACATATTCATTCAAGAAACAGAAATTTATTGAGTACTTACATATTGAAGGGATACAAAGATGTCTTTTTTGCCTAGATGACTGTTTCCTATAAAAAATTGTAAAGTGTAGGGAAAATACGAATCTAAGAGGATCTAAAGCTATTCAAAGCTGCTGTTTTTTTTTTATGAGATTAATGTAGAGACTATTTCACCTAAGCTTTTTTTCCTTGAGACAGATTCTCACTGTGTCCCCCTTGGTAGAGTGCCGTGGTGTCACACCTCACAGCAACTTCAAACTTTTGGGCTTAAGTGATTCTCTTGCCTGAGCCTCCCAAGTAGCTGTGACTACAGGTGCCTGCTCCAACACCTGGCTTTTTGTTGTTGTTGCTGTCATTGTTGTTTAGCAGGCTCTGGCTGGGTTTGAACCTGCCAGCCCTGGTGTGTGTGGTTGGTGCCCTAACCACTGAGCAACAGGCATCAAGCCTATTTCACCTAAGCTTTATAGTAACCTCGACTCTGTATTTTGATAAAGCCATTGTATATGAGTCACACTTTAATATGAATATCTAATTTCACTCAGTGTTTGTTGAGCCCACACTGTGGGCTAGCCACTGCAAGGTATTGGAATAAAATACAATGCCAACAGCTAATCTATTTCTAGTCTATGATAGGGATAAAACCTCTGTTTACCCTGAGCTTATATTTATACTTGCGATAAGTCATTACTGTGTATTATCTCTTCTCTTTAGACTTTCAGTTCTTTGAAGGGAAGAATATCTTTTTATCTTTTAACCTGATAACCTAATTTTGCATGGTGTTTTGTATATCATATATGCTATAATTTAAATAAATGTATGTTGTGCCAACAAATTAGTGAGTAAACAAACTAGTTTGCTTTCGTCTTATTAATCTTTATTAAAAAATTTTTTCTTAGTTCTACTGCAGGACTTAGATAACAATGCTTAAACAACCTTCAAAACAAAAAACTGGTTAAAAAATCAGATTTCTTTGACAGGTGCTTTAGTTTTTCAAGAGTCTTGTATACTTGAGCCTGTGTACTTGTTATTATTTCTACTGTTCACCTTTGCTGTCAATTATGGGCTTCTTTTATTCATTTTATCAGTTGCTTGAAATAAAGCTAGTGTAGTGCTGATGGACATAACTTGGGTTATGAAGAGTTATTTAATATATTTTTGTTTGATTATCTCTAATCTAGAGAGTGTAAAAGTGCATGGATATTCTAAAGAATAAGCATAAGTCAGAACAAAAATATTTTTGTAGAAAGAAAAATGTACTACACAAAGACAATATTTCCTTTTATATTTTTTTAATATTTCCTTTTTAAAATGAAATTTCCTATTCACTAAGTTATATTCCCTACAGGGTAATTTTAATTATTGCTAATTTGTTATATAGTTGATACTTTTGGTGCTATATTTTTATTAACAGTATTGTTTTGGATTTTTTAGACTATTCAAAAGTTCACCTAACACAGCTATTGGAGAAAGCTGAAGTGATTTCAGGACGTATGCTTAAATTTTCTGTTTTTTATCGTAACCAGCACAAAGAATATTTTGACTATGTTCGGTAAGAATTGAAAAACATATAGTTTCTGTTGTTTTTTTTTTTAACTAAACATGGTTTCAATTCTAGGTTCATGTTCTAGTTCTATCGAATAGCAATTCTAATTTTCTTTTCAAAATAGTTAATTATAGTGATTTTTATAAAAACAAAAACAGAAAAAGTCAGATCATGGGATTTTTACCACTTCATTTAGGTTCCTTTCCATAATAATTAGCAGTGCCATTTCCTGTTTCACTGGAAGATCTTAAATGTGTGGTATTTAGATTGATAAGCATTTTATGTATATACTCTTTTTCTAATTACCAATAACTCAATGCCTTGTGCATCATACTGACTGCTAAATTTTCTCCTCTTTTTGTGGGCCCCTTTAAGACATTGAAAATGAGAGAATAAAAAGGTGACTGTTTCATCACATAGTATGGTGAATCATGTAGGCTTCCCTCTAAGTGGAAATCTTTTCAGCCATTATTCACGAGGACATTCTCCTTTGTTTACTTTCTAACTCTAGTATTTGATCAGTCTTTCTCAGATAGTCTATTTTTATTCCTGGAAGCAGTGCCCAAGACATAGAAATAACTCTGTCCCACAGGTAATTTTAATATGTATAGCACTTTTATATTTTTAAAAGAAAATTTCAAGAGGATAAATAGGCACATGTGTGTTTTAAAGTGATATGCAGGCTTTTAAAATGACAAATGGCTATAGGTTCTAAAACTTCTACACAGTAATGCCTGTAGTTTGTCATTTTAAAAGCCTTTGTCTCACTTTATATTCTAAAGGATTCTTAAGTTGACAGGACTATATAGAAAAATATTTAACATGGTTTACTGTTCTTATTTGTTTTTCCAAACTTCTCTAAGTTTTCTCAATTTATAATCATGATTCCAGATTTAAATTAGCTCTAAGCTGTGGAGAATACAAAGGGAATCACAAAGAAAGAATTATATTTAGTCCTTATATTAAGTACTTTGCAGTATCATATATTTTTATAGTAAAAAGCATTCTTGCCTTTTGTTTGAATATTTTGTAAATACAGAGATTAGTCCATCATTCTCTTAACTGGTATTTACCCTGGAGTCTATACAATTCTTGGCAGATGCCATTCACCTAATTCACAGAGTACAAACTGATAGATACAACATAAATCATTGTGCTTGTCAATTGTTGATTGGAAATGAACATATATGTTCAGCAAGGAGTTGCTTTATACTGATTTCCTTGCCTTACAATGGGGCTATGTCCCAATAAACTCATCGTAAATTGAAAATATCATTAGTTGAAAATATGTTTAATATATATAACCTACTAAATATCATAGCTTAGCCTAGCCTACCTTAAACATTCTCAGAACACATCCTGTAGCCTACAGTTAGGCAAAATCATCTAACACAAAGCCAATTTTATCATAAAGAGTTGAAAAGATCAAAATCTGAAGTGCGGTTTCCAATGAATTTATGTTGCTTTCTTACCATTATGAAGTCAAAATATTGTAAGTTATACAATTGTTAAGTTGGGGATTAGTTTATATTTATTAAACAAAATTTAAAAACAAAAGAAATCCACTATTGCTATTGTGTTCAGTAAACAGAATAAATAATATCATTAGTTATTACTATTAGATTTCCTGAAGTATTGCCAATGTCTATTTTCAGTCGCCACTGGAGGTCAGTATTTCTCTATGATTTTTCTCTTTTTGATGGAAACTGGCCTTTGTTTTCAAGTCCTTCAGTAATCTAAATTTGGTTCATCTGTTTTCAAAAAGGCTTGCAGAAAGAAAAAAGATAAAGACAAAGCTCCTAGAAAATGGATAAAATTATTATATATAGTAGGACTTAATTTTAAGCTTCTAGTTATGAAAGATGTATTTACTAACTAATTTCTTTGTTGTATTTTCCATAATGATAGTTGTGAAATATATGTAAATTGTATCTTGATATAATAGATATAAATAAATATGTTTGCCAAGGCACAGATACCATTTTTCAACATTGCTTTTCTAAAACATTAGAAAAAAATAATAGGCTTTAGCTTCAGTAGATTCTTATTTCATTTTTATGTAATAAACTCTAGTCAGGACATATTTCCTTGATTAGAATCCATTTAAAATGTCGTCTTGTTATCCAGAGTCCTCGAATAGAAAGGAACTTTTCAATTGCCTAATAAACTGTCCAAATCATTATAAATTATAAAAACTAGATAAATTTTTAGTCACTCCACAAGGAATTAACTTATTTTTATCTCTTCCTCTGGAAATGTTTTCCTATATGAACATTGCTTTCCTTTCTCCAAATGAAAGTACCATTTCTCTCTTACCCTTTGTTCATGTTCACTGGGTAGCCCAATGGTCCTTAAAACTCTTTTTATATCTGAAAGTTTTCCCTTTAGAAACTCATTGAAATTAGTATATTCCTGCATTTTTAATATCTTATAGTATATCCTCAAAGTTGAGGTGCTGTCACTACTAGTAGGACACGTTTCCTAGTCTGAACTTATGTTTATATGTTTATTGCTGTTACTACTCATATAATTGCACTTATAGACTACATAGCACACAGATCATATTCTTAGGTATTTGGGTTTTGTTAATGAGAATGTATCCAGGATAAGAAATTTTAATCAGGAACAACATGAAGGAAACTTCTCTTCCCTCCCTATTCTTCCTACTAAGTACAACTAAAACCTTGGATGTTATATATAAAATGAAAATATTCTGAAAGGTGGAAGGAAGATGGTAGATCAGTTAGGAATCTTGGAACTAAATGAATAGCACAGTAATGAGTTCCCCATTTTATCTCTTATATTCTCGACTAGGTGCTAGACAAGCTGGCTACTCAGAAATGCAAATGCGCAAAGATAAAAAGTTAAAAAAAAAAATTAAAAGAAGGAAACCAGAAAGTCTGATCTTTCTACCCTGTGGATCAGGAAATGGATTTGCTTGAATACAGAACCTTTTAGACAATAACCACCCCACACTAGCCAAATACATCAGGGAAAAAAACCCGAAACTACAGTCCCACATCTGTCAGCCAAGGCCAAGAGGAGAACCTAGACCTTTATCCTCTCCTCTCACAGATGTAAGGAGGCATCCTTTCCCCCCCTCTTCCCCTGCTAGAGTGGCATCAAAAAGGCTGAATGAGGAACCTAGACTTTCTACATAGTACCACTGCCCAGCAGCAATGAGGCTTGCCCTCACAGTGTCAGTGGAGGCCACATGAGAAAGAGCATTGACAGCCTCCCTCCTGCAGCTACAGTGTGTTAGTAGAAACCTAGTGGAGCCTAAACTCCAACCTCTTCTCAGTAGTAACCTATCTCTATCCTCATGTCATTGTGGACAAGTGGGGAACTTGGATATTCTTCCCCATCTAAAAGCAATGAAGTAACACTTACTACACTTCCCTCACTAGTACATAGTCAGAAGAGGCCTACTAAAATATTATATTTAAAAAAGATCCATATATACATATTATGAAATATTATATTTAAATAAGATCCATATATACATATTATAAAATATTATATTTAAATTAGATCCATCTAATAACAATACCCAAAATGTCTGGAATATAATTGAATTAACTCACCATACCAAGAACAAGAAAAATCTTAAATGAATGAGATTTGAATGAGAAAAGATGAGCAAAGACACACAAAATCACATAGATCTTAGTATTTACAAATACACTTGGAACAAATCAAAAAAAGAAAAATAGAAGATATAAAGTACTAAATGGTGATTTTGGAAATAAACATTCTAAGTGGACTTAAAAAACTCAGTTGATATACTCAACAGCAAATTCAAGGGAACAAAGGAAAAAAAATCAGTAAACTTTGAAGATAGACTAGAAATTACCCAAATTGAACAATAGAGATAAAACTGACAAAAAAAGTTTAAGCTACTTTGGATTATAACAGATCTAATTTTCATGGAATTGAAGTCAAGATGGAAAAGAGAAAGAGAATAGGCCTGAAAAAGCATTCGTAGAAATAATAGCTGAGGTGTTCCCGAATTTGGCAAAGAACATACAGGTAATCAAGATGAGAAAAATCCCAAACAGAAAAAGCCAAAGAGATCCATGGCAAGACACATCATAGAAAACTGAAGATGAAAAGAAAATCTTGAAAGTGATGAGAAAGAATAGATGCCATATGTATAGGGGAAAAACAATTTGAAATCACCATCAGAAAGAAACCCATTGATGTCAAGAGAAAGTGGTATAATATTTTCAAGTTCTGAAAAGAGAACTGACAACCCAGAATACTATCCCCAGTGAAAATATCTATCAAGAATAAAGGGAAAATCAAGATACGCTTAGATGAAGGAAAACTAAGGGAATTTGTCAGCAGCATATCTACCCTAAAAGAATAGCTAAAGAATTGTGACACAGGAAGTAAGTAATAAAAAAGAAGGGATCTTAGAACATCAGAAGGAAGAAAAAACAGTAGTAAGAGTAAAAATATAGGGTCTAATCCAAGTATCAACACTACATTTATCTGTCATGTCTCCTTATTCTCCTATCTGTGCCAGTTTCTTGGTCTTTTCTTGAATCTGCATTTTTAATAGCTCCCTAGGTGGTGTTTACTTGGTGGAATTTGAGACCCATTGATATTCTGAAGTCAAGGGCAGATTCTGAGTACTCCTCATTGACTCACAAACTCTTTAAGAAGCATGATGACTGGGGGAACATGCCTTTGCCTGAATGGCTGCTTCAACTTTGCATCACAAGTCATATTGGTTAGGGACACACCCCAAAAAGGTAGCATATGTGGAGAAATCTGGAGAAAATTTAATATATTTAAGAAAATTTATCAAAAGTTCTATTAACAGAAGCATAATCAGGATTAAGATAAGAGATGCTAAAGCAACCAGGAACTATCAAGATTTCCAAGGTTTTATTCTTGCAAATGGGAGTAGGAGTCAGAGATACATAAAGAAGAACCTAACCCTGACAGAATCACAAGGCTCTGAAGCATGGAGGAAATAAAGGAAGACACACCCAAAGCTTTAACTCCTCTACCCCAGATCTACTGGTGCCTCCCATTGGTAGAACTGAAAGGAAAGGGACTAAGTGACAAGGAAGAACAAGATAGTGGAGTCCCAAGGCATTAGACTTGGAAGGCAAGAAAGGTAGAGAAAAGATGTGGGGGTGTGGTAAAGGAAGACTAGTGCTGTTGTAAGCAAAATGCCAGAGAAATAATCTAATTAGAAAACTGAGTAAAAAACAAAAACACTTCTGTGTCATGTAAGTGGATAGCACTCATTTTATGACTAAATTCTAGCATAGTTTAAAAGAAACATTCAATACATTTAACCAATTATTTTCAGTTAAGTTTTCTCTTTCAGAAAGCAATTTCTAATTGTAGGACATCATAATTGATGTGATTTCACTGATAAGTTATGTAATTCAAGTTTGATTTTTCCAACTAGGAAAATTACATTATTAGGTTAAAGTTCTCCAAAGTTTGTAGGAGCTCATCTTTACCTTAAGATCACAACTAAAATTCAGCCATCTATAGGTACTGCCAAAAGATGCATTCCCTTTGATCTGATCAGGCCTTTAATTTTAGGTGATTGACTTTTGGACTATTGGAATCTGTAAATCAGTGTGTTTACTACTATTGTAGTAAACAATGACCTTTTGTTTTCTCTTGCAGAGACCATCATGGGAATGCTATGCAGCCCTCTGTCAAAGATAACAGTGGTAGCCATGGCTCTCCTATCAGTGGAAAATTAGAAGGCATCTTCTTCAGCTGCAGCACTGAATTCAATACTGGGAAGCCACCCCAGGACTCACCTTATGGAAGATACAGGTTTGAGATTGCAGCAGACAAACTTTTTAACCCCAATACTAACTTATACTTTGGGGACTTCTACTGTATGTACACTGCTTATCATTATGTGATTCTTGTTATTGCCCCTGTGGGATCACCAGGAGATGAATTTTGTAAGCAGCGCCTTCCTCAACTAAATTCCAAGGATAATAAATTCTTGACCTGTACAGAAGAAGATGGGGTGCTGGTTTTCCACCATGCCCAGGATGTAATTTTAGAAGTCATTTACACTGATCCTGTGGATCTTTCTCTGGGCACCGTGGCAGAAATCACTGGTCATCAGCTCATGAGTTTGTCTACTGCAAATGCAAAGAAAGATCCCAGCTGCAAAACCTGTAATATAAGTGTTGGACGTTAATGCCCACTTTTCTTACTCTTACCCAGCCCCTTTTCTTCCCTTAGGAACATTGATCCTCTGTTGTCCATTTTCATCACCAAATGTTTTCCACTGAAGCATGCATATGCCGCTATCACCAAAAGCAAACTACCACTTTTCAAATTTCATTCAGAGCCATTTTAGTGTTTCCTATTCCCTACCTTTCCCACTATTTTCAATGATGAAATATCCTTTTTCCTTTTGACACTTTATTGCCTAGATGCTGCAATGTTTTTATTTTTCCTTTATGCCAAACATAACAGTTATATAGACCGCTTTAGCAAAATACGAAATAATGGCTTATAAATGGTGTTTAAATATACATTCATTTTAATCTACTGAACAAATATTGGGATAACTCCAAACCGCATGAAAGGTGTAATTGCAGCATGAGTTAAATCTTGAAGCCTAGAATTGTCAGCACTTCCAACTTGTTGTTTGACAGTGTTATTTATGTTATTTATATTAGCTAACAGGAAACAACTACTGTGTTTCAACATAATAAATATAATAGAAAAATATTTTATTTGCATTGTATAAAATATTTACAATCATATAGAATATATAGAGTTACATTTTAATAGCAATTGTATACATGTCACGAAACCATTTCCCTTATCAAAGATGTAATTTGTAAACCTCAAATAGTTGTGTATCTGTCCTGTTACAAGTAGATGTCTTCAATTAAACAAATTTATGAAGGACACTATTCTGATTCATAAAAGTTATAAAATGTCAGATGAATACAGAAAAAACAATAAGCCTCTGAAATAGTCTGCTTCTGAAATAGTCAATATTCTTCCCATCCAAACTCTATGGAAATGTGAATTTCTTCAACATTACAGAAAATAGAAATACAAACATGGTTGGTACTTAAGAAAAATTGTTGACCTTTTACTTGTTTTTACAAAAACCAAAATAAATGTGTTTTAGTACAAAATAATATACACTAAAGTTGATGAGGCAAATAAAATATTCTGGATTCTTTTCCACGGTGTCATGGCAAACCTTTCATTTTGTATAGAATGACAAATAACTACAGTTCATGAGAAAGTTTTTTGACTTTACAAAGTATAGACCTTAGAACATTAAGAAAAATGCATATTCCCAATGGAAAAATAGTTATATAATCTTATAGTAAACAAAAAGATTAGCAATAATACTATGGTCACATTATATTATATCCTGCAGACACATATCTATCCAAAATACCTATTTTAAAATTTTAATACAATATAAATATCTCAATTATAGACAAAGATAATAATTCACAAAGTACATGCTATTAGAATGAACTTTGGTAACCAGAAATGTAAAATTTCAAATAACAGATAAAATAATATATTTTTATATAGAAATAAAAAATTAGCAGTGACACATTCTAGTATATTTTAGGGTACTAAAAGCCTAGCAGACTTAAGGGACAAGGTAGTAGGTGTTTTATCACTTAAAAATCTATTCTTTCTTAGTATCTGTAGTCCTTCCTACATAACAAGGAGAATTTCTTTTCCTCCTCTCACTGATTTTTTTAAAATCATGCTGTATTTCATACATCATAACAATCTTTGGACACTAAATATACTTTACCTAACAAGTGGCCTAGCTATGTTGTTTAGATTTAATAAAACATTAGATGTTTTCTGAAATAATTGTATTGACTAAATTTTCTCCTTGACATGGAGGAGATACAGCTTATTTCCAATTATGTGACTACCTGTTGTATTTTCCCCCCATTTAAATCCCTTCTCAATGAGGCATACCTCATAGTTACTTGCTGTCTGTTCTTAAAAACAGCTAATATTACCACTAAAGTGCATCCATTTTCAGTATGTCAAAGCTGCTTAGCAAGAATAGCAAGGGAAATAAACTTGACTTTTGACTATCTTGAGTAAAAGTAAGCACAAACATTTCCTGAACCTCAGATAGTTTTGGCCACATCTTGCTTGCTGATAAGGACCTCTAATAGTCTCAGTTTGGCTTTTATGTGCTTGTATTCATAATATTCATCTGCCATTGGTATTCTATCTTCTTTTTGTGGACTTCTGCAAAACAGAAAATACAGTCTATTAGTTCCTAATAAGTCATTAAATATACTTTTATAATTCATACATGAGAAAGTGTAGGGTTTGGCTTCCATTTGTTTTTTGTCTATGTCTTCTTTACTTTCTCTTTCACCTTCATTCACTCCGTCTTCTATGTGTTAAGTTTCTAAGTTAATAGAACTTGCATGTCATAAGTGTTTTGTAAATATGTAGTCCACTGCATAGACATATAATAATGATGCAAGTAAAAAGATCTTGGTGGGAGGGAAAGCAATAGCCAGACTCTTCAATGAATTCCTCATCCAACATTCTATTAGCTGCCACAGTTCCACAGTTTGTTTCCATTAGTTGAACAGTTTGCAAAATGTTCAGCCCTTATATAGTGAGAGTTGTTAAAAACAGCAACCTGAGAATACTACAGAAATTTGATTACACAAATAATTTATGTTTTTAGTGACAGGAAAAAACATGTAGTTGATATCTTACAAACTTGAGACAGTTTCAGGTTTTTTTGTAATTATAACACCTACTTCTCCTAATGTGTAGTAGAATCACTAAGCTGTCTCTTGATCGTGTTTGTATGTCTAAATTAGAGTGGTTATCATCTACACACTAATTCTAAGACTAGACATATAACAATGTATATATTTTTATATACAGTAGAACCTCCTTAGTTGACCACTTCCTTAATTTGACCTAATTTTCATAACTGGACATGCACCATATATATGTATCAGTGCACCAGGCCTAGTTCCACATGTTTAACACCTCTGTGTGTTGGCCAGTTTGTTACAGTACCTTAGGTGGTCAGCTTATAGAGGCCCTACTATATATGCAGTCTAATAATGCATGCTCTTGCTATTTACTCAGAAGAATAATTGGATGATACCTGGAGTTAAAACCATTTGCCTTCCCACAATAATATGTTGTCAGGATGTTTTCTAAAGGGAAATAATTGATACAAGGTAAGGCTTTTGTCTGGTTCTTTAATAACATAACCAATTGTTTTTAAAACATTTGTATGATTTTGAAATGTAAGAAGACACAAATGTAGTCACTACAATTAAAACTGAATATAGACACAAATGCTCTCCATTATTAGTAGAACTGAAACTGGGTAAATAGCAAATATCTGTAACCCCCTTCTGTTCTCCTATATAGAACTATTTCTTTTACAAATTTAAAAAAATCCTTTATCTATAAAGGATTATTAAGAATATAGTCTCTACTTGTTTACTGCCCAGAAATTTCTACTGCAGAACTTAGAATAGTCCATAAACAGGGTTCCTCTTAAGTGTCATCTAAATTATGTAACATAAATGTCTTGCCTCCATTCTGTGGTATGGGCCAAACTTACTATGTGTGTCTGAATACTACCTTAATTTATGCAAACACATCTCAGTGAAGAAACTGTCTAATTATTAACAATAATTGATTATAATACATATCTACTTGTTCCATTTTGGCTAGTTATAAGAGCACTTTGATGAAAATGAAAAATTTTGCTAAGAATTTTCTGAAGCAATTTCCTCATGATATACGATATACTGATGTGCTTATTTAGCACAGTTCCTGGCTCATAATTTTTAATAATAATGCCATATCCACATCATTATCATGCTTCTTCTTATGTGGTAACTATTTCTAAGAACATTTACAGTGCCTTAAAATGTTATTTTAGCTTATGGATGGTTAGGCCTTCCTAATAAAATGTCTTAGGTAAACAAAATTAAGGTCCATTATTTCCTAACCATTCAATTGTTTTGATTTACAACTAAAATCAGACATTTGCATTTAGTTGAAAAATACCACCACATGAGGGCACACAACTTCATAGCCAAATATAGGCATGTCTGAAGTTGGTTTAGGACTCTCAGATACAGGAGAATACTATACATGAAATATAAGTAAATTCCCTGTATATCAAAAGGCATGCCAAGTAACACTGCAGATACCCACTAGGCAGGCCTGTTGCTCATTGGGAAGTTTTCATACTCTTTAAGGTAAACTCCTGGGTTTAGGAGGTAAAAATGCAAATTTACTTAGGGAACTCAAAGTTAAATGTACATACATCTTAAAGTGATTAACTCATTTCTCATATGTAATGACTATTTAGATTTAGAATACTTGATAACATCTCCCCAAATATTTTCCTGAATGAAAAATTCTCACAGAATACCTTTCACCTGAAAGATGCAGAGATCAGGAAATTTAATGCAAGTCATATATATACCCAAAGCATAATATAGCAAACTGATCAGATAGACAAAGTCACTATTCCAAGGAATGATTTACCAGGAAAGTTGCATGAATGTTTTAAAAGAGAAAAATGTACAGAAAAGAAAAAATAAGTAATCATGTTTTATATTCTAAATTAGTAGCCACATAGCATTTCTTACTAGACTAATTAACTAATCGGCAGAAAGGTACGTGGGACTTGTACCAATCAACTGAAATGGAAGATTCCAGGTACCAAAAATAAACAAAAGAACAAAGGGTTACATCTATATATATATATTTGCTGAATGGAAAAAGTTCTTCACTGAATAGGTCAAGTCCTAATGAATAGCCCTGGTAGACTGAAATGGAAAAGCTTCCAAGGAATAAGAGGTGAGTTGATGAAGATTGAAAGTTCCAGAGTCCCTTCTCTATCCAGTCAACCCTAAGGTTGCTGAACTGAGAACATTTCAGGAAAGGCAGGGCAGAAATACGGAGGAACCAGTGCAGCACTGATTCTCTTGCTCTAAAATTGAAAGGAAGAATTTCTACCACTTTGTGACTTCAGGAAATTTGTGCTCTTTATTTATTTACTTAATTATTTAAAGAGTGATGTCCTACATAATAGCTGTAGCTTCCTAATGTATCCCAGGAGTCCAATCATTTCAGCTTGTAAAGGTAGAATCTGAGGCTCAGGATAGCTGATCAGTTTGTCTCTCTTACAAAAGTAGATCAGTGGACCCTTATCTCCTGATTATGTATGCAATTCTGTGGATGGTAATCAAAATGTAGAGGAAACTAATAGAGTGCATAATTAAACTTGGTTGACACAAACAAAATAGAAGATAAATAGAGGATATAGCTAAACATTTATTTAAAGAGTAGAAAAATGCTATGAATTTTTTGCCTAAATCCTAAAATAAAATAATTAGGGCAGAACCTGAAGTTTAAAGAAGATATTTAAAGCAAAGAAATTATTATTTAATAAAGTAGGGAATAATCTGTGGAATTAAACCAAGAACAAAGCAATTATGTGAGCTAAAAAGTCAAATAGTTTTTAAAGTTTAGATAAATTCAAGTTAATAATGATATTTATCAAGCAAAATTTGGGATTTTATAGTTTATCTTTCATTTCTTAAAGGTTGATGTCATACTTGAAAGCTATTGCCTCCCATAAATAATGTCCCTAACACTACCAGAATGTTACACTGAATCTAAGCTAGAATGGAAATTGTATACATTTTGTATAAAGTCATTATTCTCTACAAAAACAAAAAATTATAGCTTATTCTTGACAATAGCTCTCTAGGAATATTAGCTTTAAAATTTTCTGTCCACACTTACCTTCCTGTTTGTTTAAAAAACTGTTCTTCAAATTCTCTTAAGGCTTTCCGCAATCTCTTCTTGTCAGCCCTAGTTTCTCGGAGGTGGTCAAGAAGTACAGGCCTATGTCAGATAAAATATATATTTGCCATTACTGAGCACTGGCATAATTGAGAGAGCACCATAAGCATACTTACCTAATCAGCAAAAAAAGAAAAAAAGCGTATTATGATTGAAAGTGTTCTGTCCACAAAAGAGTGTCTTTCCAGTAAATATGGCAGCCAGAGCCTGACCATCAGGTGTACATAAGCAGGGAAGATCACCTGATGGGAACAGCATCATAGGAAAGAAGGACAGACAAGAGTCAAGTGCATCGAGTCCACTGTAAGAAGTGGGTGAGGGCAATGACAGTATGAATGGGCAAGGGAGGAACACATTTTGAAGGCATACTCATCACTATTTGGTAGATAGACTGAAAATATTTAGGGACATGAAGAGATTTTAAAGAAAAGTCTAGCCTTAATCTATTTCTAGAGAAGGACAAACCCCTTGTGAATGGAATTTAGACACAGAATAAAGGCTTAATTACATTGCAAATTCTATTCTAAGAGAGAAAAGTCATATACTTTACAACAGGAATTTGATATGCACAAGCATACCAAACTTACATATGGTATCAGAGACTCTATGAACTTCCTGAAACTATATATGGTAATCTTTAAAAAATTCTATGATGATTCTTAAAAAAAAAAAAATTCCATTGACTTCAAAAAATTCAACACCTCCTGAAAAGTTGAGAGTAACTCCTTTGTACCAACAATCAAAAAACAAAAGGATTTTCTGCTTCCAGCAGGTCAAACTTACTTAAATTAAGTTACTAACTGATTCTACAAGCACATTAAAATTTCAGTCTCAGCTTATAACTTGGTCCTTGATCTCAACTTCTTCTCTATTTTGGGACATAGACTCACTACACTATATATAATACATGTTCAAGAAAATTTCATATCTGGGCTATGATATACAATCCAAAGAAGGCCAAATGATCATGAAGGCTGCCAGCTATGAATAATGATAATGATAACACTAATGAAAATCCAAATGGTTCCTGACTGAAGGCTATTAGGAGAACTCATTTACTTAAAGCCAAGGGAATCTCTAGTCTGAAAAAGGTATCTCATCTAAAGGGAAAAGGCTAGGACAAAGGCACTGAGAACTATTGACCCATACGGGTTTGGTCAAAAATCCTAACCCCTTTGGGTCCATCCCAAAGGCTAGCCCTACTTCACACATTGCCAAGAGTTAGACTGGTGCCAGAATCTTGGCAAAAAGAGGTACGATTATGATAAACTGAAATCAGAATTTATGGCATCTTTAGCACTTTACTGGGAGCTATGATTCCTATGGATTTGTCTTCTAGTTTCTCCAGTTAAGAAGACAACTGGATTATGCTTTTAGGGCTACTCTTTGGGGTACACTTTTTAGAGTCTACTAGCTCTTCTTAACTTTGTATGTACATACAAGGTCTGAAAGGTCAAAAGGAGTTAAAAGGAGACCCCACACTTAAGGTTCATACTCACATGGTGGCCTCATGTAAGTTGGACATGGAGAGAGCTGGTTGCTTTACTTCTTTCTTTTCATCTGGTAGGAGGACCCTAACAGGCTCAGTCTCAGTAGAGTAGGTGAGTTGGTCACCGACGGGAAGGTGAGATGCTGGATCTGGCAAAGAAGGTAGTTGGCTTCCCTGTGGACAGTCTTCATCAGAGTCTTCTTCCTCCTGCTTATTACAAGCAGAGTTACAGAAAGAAAGTCACAAAATGCTAAGTGCCTCTTGAGGAAGCAAAAACAGGAAGGGAACCATAAATAGATAACATAAAAGCTGGTAGCTGACCCATATGCCTACTGAGAACCAGGATAGAAGCAACCAAAAGGAGCTCTTTCTCAGTTGCATTTTTAAAAACTGCATAAGTTAATGAGTAAAAGGATACTCATCACTGGCCTAAACCACTTACCAAGTTTATTTGTATCATCTGGGAAAGTGAAGGCACAGATATTTAGGACGTGGTCCAGTCTAGACTGTACTACCAAGTGGTTCCTCCCTTTCACTTAGACCTTCTGGCCGCAGCATCATACCAGTGATATGAGTAAGCATGAGATGGACTACAAACACCTTTTGTCATCCAGAAATAACCTAAAAGTCACATCCCATTGTAAGCCACATTCAAATACAAAGGATAATCAAAATATTGACAAATTTAGGGAAGGGTTCTTTGAAGACCAAAGCAAAGTAGGGCTACTCCTAACATGTTCCGATAATTCGTATCACAACAAAAGGATTTTCTTGCAAGGAAACCTGAGAATACTCTATTTTAAATTTTGCTTCCATAATGGGAAAATTTCAAAGACTCTGAATCATTATTCTCTTTAATAATCTTTAAATATATGGAAATATAAATGTACTCAAGTATACTTACATTTATATTTGTTAACACTCCTTTTTATATTGATATTTAGAGCAAGTGATTGTTTGAATATTGATGGAGTAGGATTTGTGATGCTTTTCTAGTTCTGTATTCCCATAAATCATTTTTTATTAAAGTAGTTTAACCCAATTTCAGCACTCCTATCTTCTATTGAAACAAATCAATTCATACCATATACAGTATGGTCAATAGTACCAAAAACAACTGTTGCATTATATCAAAGACTATATTGTCAGTTTTCTCATTAATAGAGAAAAATTAACTAATGTACACAGAATAGAAATGCTCTGTTTAGTCTAGCTTATAAATTAGATAATACCAAGCTAAAACCCATCAGGTCTTCCCCTCACCCAAGACAATGAAAGCACATGCTAAAATTGGCTCCAAACATACAAGTGTTATGTAGTCCCTTTTTATAATAGTTCTATCAGTCAGTGTTAAGTATAGTTAGGATTAGTGTTAGAGAAAACCCACGTTTTCACTTTTGAAGTAACAGCTGGCCTTGTTATAAGTATATACTGCCATGAAGCCCCCTCTATAACTCTGACAGAGTTAACTATGACAGAGTGGTAACTGAACAGCAATACAAAGCACCAGTACAGTTTCCAATTCATGCAGGCATTCTGACTTACAATTGTTGGAATAAGGGAAGGTGTTGACAAGATTTGCTTGATAATTCTGTATCGGTCATAAAGAGGCTTTATGAGGTTCTTGTCTTGTTTAGTTACCTGAAAATCATAAAATTAATTATTCCTTTCTAAGACAAGAATGAATACATGTCAGTATTGTTAGCAGACAAAAGTTTTGACACCTCAAAATAATCATAATACTATAACGCAACAGTAATTAGAAAAAAAGGAAGTCTTTATAGGATGCTATATGTAGCACATGCCAATTTTTTATAGAAAAAGTTTCTTAAATGATAGGTCTAAGTTTAGAAAGTTGTTCTTTTTTTATAAAGATTTCCGGTGGAATCTGCAATGTGTAAATGGTAAGGAACCTTTTCTTTAATTACTTCTTTGTTCTTAAAAAAAAAAAGAAATGAGTGATCAAGACCTTTCTTCTGAACATCTACTTTACCTGGAGTTTCATGACTATAGGTGTTCACAGACACCAACCTGGTGCACTTCTTCATTGCTACATGCCCTGGTAATATACTTGCTAGTTAGCTGTGATATAAACTAAGTCATTTTGGACAAAACATTTAACTTCTCTGAATCCTTAATTTCCTACCCATACAAGAAGTTAGAGTTAGAAAGATTCTGCCAATTAAAATATTCTATAACCTCTTCACCCACTGATACATTATCCCACTGCTGTATGACCCATCCTTAAACACTGTTTTCAACAGATCATACTGTACGTAAAAAATATAAATAGCTTCTTTTTTATCTGTTCATCTATCCAAAATGACAAAATTCCCCTACTTGTCTTGATTTTTCTCTCAACTGTGTACCCTGCATTAATTTGCTGTATATTTACTATACACAGCTTCACTTTCACTCTAGTCCAGTAGTTTGTAGTCCTTGAGTAGTGGAAAGGGAATGGTAGAAATAGCGTATGGCATAATCACTGAGATGTCTTTCATCAAAGCACACATGCCTAGGCATGCCAGAGAGCACAGCCTTCCAGGGGCCTCAGAATCTGCAGGGCAAGGCAAGTGGCTCGAGCATGTGTTAAGCTTCTCCGTTATCCTCACACAACCCTACCTTCATCCCTTCTGTAAACCATTCGGGCTCATAATGACCTCCCTTTTCTGTGAACTTCTCCATCTCCTTATCTGGGCCTTAACTATTTTCTGTGCGTCAGCCTTGCCTGCCCAAATAAATGAAGCTTCTTGAGGATGGAGATCATATCACGTATTTCTTTAAATTCTCACAGTGTTCTACACATTCACAGTCCTACTGCCATGATATCAACACAGGTTTATAGGGAAACAGAACTAATTTTTAACACTCTACACACAAGTTCCATACACTGTGACCAAAGGGTCTTTCCTTCTTCATTATCTTTAATAGAAATACCGTCTGTCTCTGTAGAAGCCTTCTAAAGTATTGGCTAAATAACTTCAAGGTCTTTTCATTTTCTAGCCCAAGCATACCTTAAACATTTCCCTACTCATAACACATCTTTCCACAAAAAATAAATAAATAAATAAATTCCTACCAAGACGTGTTCTGTGGTATTTTAAGAAGGGATAGAAGAAGAAAAACTCTCAGTTTAAGTTTAGAAAACATTGAAATAATGTTTTTTTTATTCAGTATCTTACTTGGACTTACATTCCATAGAAAGAACTTCAGAATATGTTATTAGTGTCTCTCTATTGCAGTTTGACTTCTGTGATTTTAGTATATTCCCTAGATTTTATAAAAAACTAAATTTACTCCTAAAAGAGAAAAACAATGACCAAAAAGCAAGTTAGAATGATGAATGCCACTTAGAAAAATATGTTCCACAGATGCTAGATGGAAATTAGGGTACATGTGCAATGTATACACTCCTTTCACTGTATTTCAAGATTTTATTCTTGGCTCAGCGCCTGTGGCTCAAGCGGCTAAGGCGCCAGCCACATACACCTAAGGTGGCAGGTTTGAATCCAGCCCGGGCCCGCCAAACAACAATAATGGCTGCAACCAAAAAATAGCCAGGCATTGTGGCGGGCGCCTGTGGTCCCAGCTACTTGGGAGGCTGAGGCAGAAGACTCGCTTGAGCCCAGGAATTGGAGGTTGCTGTGAGCAGTGAAGCCATGAGACAGCTTGAGGCTCTGTCTCAAAAAAAAAAAGATTTTACTCTTAGACTAAAGCAGCAGTTCTCAACCTGTGGGTCGCGACCCACAGGAACTGTATTAAAGGGCCATAGCATTAGGAAGCTTGAGAACCACTGGACTAAAGCAATCCCCAAAGAAGTTGTGAGAGTTCAAGACACACATGTATAGTAAGTACAAACACTGAAAACTCGTCAGGTCTGTAAGTGCTCATCCTCTGATAGACTTGGACAGGAAGGCAGACTGCCCGTGGAGGAAGGTTGGTGGTGGGATTACATGCCAGTGACTGTCTTCTGCTCACAGAGGAGATCTAGGAGAATGGGAACTGAGTCAAGAGGTAAGCTCTGCAGAATACCCCAAATCCGAGGAGCAGAAATACATGTAACCTTGCTATGCATCAGGCCCTTTCTGTTAAAAATAAGACTACATGAAATGAAAAAAGGCTATATGCTGCCTTTTGTTGAAAGAAGGCAAATTAAGATGCTATATTGATAATTCCTTACATATGCATCATAGAGAAATTCCAAAAGGACACAGAAGACATTAATGGTTATCTGCTTGGGGTGGGAGAACTCAGAGTTAGAGATGGCATTTGGGGTGGGAAGGAATCTTTTTACTGTATAAACTTTCATACATTTTCTTGTTCTTTCTCGCAAAATGTACAAATGGTTATATAGTAAGAAAGTATCACGTAGTCAACAAATTAATTTTTTTTTGAAGAAGGATTAAATAAGCAGGCAAAATGTTTAATGGGCTCTTCCTTTCCATGCCCTTTACTTCTAAGTCTTCCCTCTTTCTAACCAACAAAAACCCACAAATAAGTTGTTAAATTTTTTTTTTTTTGAGACAGCATCTCAAGTTGTTACCCAGGGTAGAGTAGAGTGCCATGGCATCATAGCTCACAGAAACCTCCAACTCTTGGGGCTCCAGTGGTCCTCTTGTCTCAGTTTTTCTATTTTTAGTAGAAATGGGGTCTTGCTTTTGCTCATGCTGGTCTCAAACCGTGAACTCAAGCAATCCACCCGTCTTTGCCTTCCAAAGTGATAGGATTATAGGCGTGAGCCACCAATTTGGTGTGGCCAAATTATTTGATTTTTAAAGCTAAAATTAATTGTTATGTTTTTAAAAAACTTCTTCCTCCTCAAAGATACTACAATTGATGAGGGGCCAAAAGAAATGACTGCCATTACTCTTCCCCTTGGTAATTTGGGGGGTGCCTCTGACCCCACCTGTAGTTCTCAGAAAAGGTAAAATGGGCATATATGCCAGCACCAGATCAAGATTTTCAAAAGGAAAGGACAGAAAGGACGTAAATAGTCACTACATTCAGACTTAGGAAATGACTCATTCATTTCCAGCGCACAGTGATGCCCTGTGACCCAGAAGTGATTATCTCCAAAAATCATTCCGAAATAAAAGAGGAAGAGAAATACTCATTAGCAGTATTGGCACATACAGGGCAATGCTGTAGGGTTTATTAGCTTTAATATGGGCTGTGACTAAACACCAAATGCAGAAACTTCAGAAAGAGTAAGTAAAAGTCTCACTAGAAAAAAAGGCATCCTTTATCTTAGAAGTTTTCATATTTAATGCATTTTCAGCAGTAAGGCATTGACCCCAGATAGAGGTCATCTGCCAATTTGAATTCAAAGAAAGGGGATCTAATGAGATAATCTGAAACGCTACTGTACTCATTGAGGAGGCAGAAGTAACAGTAGCAGCTTTGGAAATAGACAGTCCTCCTTTGGACTCTCCCTAAGGACCTCTCTTACAGCTGAATAGCCACTACATGGTTTACTGCCCTCCCCCAAATGGTATTTATACCAACTGAAGTTGGTATAAGATGAAGTTTATATGTTCTACTGCAGATGCTCTCTGTTTAAAGGGCCTAACTTTCGCCTACTGCAAAGCTAAACAGTAAGTATATTTAAGGGGCATCTGACACTTATTGAAGTACTCAACAGATAATTTCATTTAAAATATCAAGATATCAGAAATAATTGCCATATTTACACAGGATGACTTCTAAAGCACTTAAGAGTTTTTTCTCTCATCTTCAGACTCTCATTTGCAGGTACCAATTTGATTTAGCTGCCTTTACAACCATACCAGTTTGCTCAGACTGAAGCATTTCTTGGGACATGAGATTTTCAGTGATTAAAATCAGGAAAGTCTTGGGCAAGTGGGTTGTTGGTCACCTTATTCCTCAAAGATCTTAAATGTAATGTATCCCAGACTTTTAACGTTTTCAACCCCCCCCCCATTGCCATCGTGGATTCTTCCTTTCCTTTGCTTCCTCCCATATGATGCTTCTGCATGTCCTTTCGATTCCTCTAAAATATACTTCGAGTATGTTCACTTCTTTTCATCTCCAAGGCCATCATGCTAATCCAAGCCACCCATTTTATTTCCCCTTTTCCTCTGTGATTTATTCTCTACATTGAGCGATCAGAAAGATCTTTTAAATATGAATCATGTCATGGCACTTTTCTGCTTATAACCATTCAGCCACTTCCCAGGACTTTCCTAGGCTGTAAGGTACTGTGTGATGGGGTCCCAGTGTATCTCTCCAACTTTGTCTCATGCCATCCTGTGCTCTAGGCCTCAGACACCTCAGACCTGAGAATTGCAAGGGTACAACATGGTCTTCCATCCTTCAAGGCCTTCATACTTGCAATTCTGTCTGGAATCCTCTCTGCTGCTCTCTTCGGCCTGCTAATTCTTTTTAAATGTCACTTTCATGACCTCTATAATCACCTAATCTTAAGTAGCAGCAATATCTATTCTTTTCTGTCATATCACCTGTTTAATTCCCTGAGCAGTACTTATCAAACTTTTTAATGATTTTGTTTCCTGAGTTGTTTATTGCTTGTTACATTCCAACTCCCAGGAGAACATGAGCTTCATGAGGGCAGTGACCTCCATACCATCTCTAACTTGTTTATATTGTACATGCAATATAAAGTAGACATTCAAATATTTTTTCAAATGAACGATCATCCAGTCACCAGGCATCTCCCTTATTGTCACAATAATTATGTAACTAGGTAATTACAAATGAGGAAGTTGAATCTCAGAGTCTTTGTTCACTTGCCAAGCGCACATGGATAGAAAGGGGCTGGCTCAAGCACTGAGCCCTATCCTAAGTCTTCTATACCAGTCCCAACTCACCCTTCAGTACCCTGGTTAATTGAGTAAAATATAGATTTAGGACTTAGATATTGACCAAGATGTGTCCATAGATACAGTTAAAATAACTGTAAAATATAAGAAAGAAGCACTGATGGCTGGAAAACCATGCACTAACACACATGTATGTGCCATATGTGTACTTGTATGTGTAAATAGTAGAAATAATTGTAAATACACATATAAGTTGTTCACTGGCTATCAGGAAAGTCTAGAATCTTTCATGGGGATGGGGATAGGTTAGCCAATTGGTAAAAACCTTGCTATTCATTCCTCACAACATACATTAGGGTTTTTCTTTTAAGTATAAAAGTATTTCATAAAGACAGAGTTGGCCCTAGGCCCATTTCTGCTTGTTGATCACAAGTCCTAATGTGAAAGACTAAGCCAGGGGCATATGGTGGTGAGCCTTGTGAGATTAGGCATATGTTGCCACTTTACCATTAAAACCAGGTCATGTACAAAAGAACAGGTAAAATCAACATTCCCCTCAAGAAGACAGAAGTTAAATGTGCTAATTTGTCCATCCGAATGTCCATTCATGCACTCAGCCAGCATTTATTCAATAGCTACTCTGTGCCCACTGAGAGATCATGAACAAAACAGTCCTTCCACACAAGTGTAAGTTGTGGAAAGAGACAGAAATGAAACAGGAAGGACCATAGGAAAGTTTCCCTAGCTTAAGTGAAATGGAGGACAAGCGGGGATTAGCCAGGTTAAATACTAATTGCTCTTTTCTTCTTTATAAATTATAATAAATCTTTTCTTTGAGCCATAGGCTTATCTGCCCAAATGCCTAATTAACATCTCTACGTGGATATCTCAGAGATTTCAAAATGAAGATGTCTAAAGCTGAAGTCTTGAGTTCCAGCTGTACCTTTCTCTTCTTCTATAAAATACCACACCACTTTCTTTACTGGTCTACCTCATCCCCACTTTCTATTTTTTTTAACATGGTTAGGGGCTACCACTGGAGCCTTTTCCTTTCCAATAATATGCTTATTCCCTACTCTTAGGTTCATTTGCTAATTTAAGGAAGGTAGGAAGCTAGGGGAGAAAGCAATAGGATATATCCCAGTATCTCTGCCATTTATTCTCTTCAACGTGCAACGATATAATTCCCAGAATAGTGGGACATCCTATAATCATGTGGCAATACCCCCAGATCATGGCCAATACCACCAGGAACTCATTCGACTGAAATTTCCATGCCATTCTTGTAAAGGTGTTTATAATAGTGGCAAAGTGCTCAGACAAACTGGTCAAAATCATGATCTCCAGGCACTGTGTAGCATACTGGGGCCCTCCACATCATAAGATACAATCAGGTACCTTAGAATCCTCCTGGTAGGGAAGCTGCTCTCTCTTCTCCTTTAGGCCTGTCAGGGCAGCATCTGGAGTCTCCTCTCCAGAGGAGCTTGGCTCTGGGCCTGCAGCTTCTGGCTTCTCATTCTCTGTGGGCACTGAGGGTTGTTCACAGGGCACGTTTCTAGGTGGGCCTTTGGGAACACTCCCTTGTTCTTCTGACAGCTTCAGCTTTAGTTCTAAGAGACATACCATGAATTATCATGAGCAAAGAGGACTCATTCGCCCTAATAAGAAGAGAACTTTTAGGAGTTCATTCCCCTGATGTCAAATTGGCAGAAATGAACTATGCTAATGATGGTTTTCCATGGGGCAAGGGCAGACTTAATAGCCAGAGCCAATAGCATAACCTCCCAATCAGGGCTCTAAAGGGTGGGATCCCACGGAGGTAGAGGACCCTTGTGGGAGTAAGTGGTTTAAATTGGGGGGGGGGGGGGCATGGGTGGAGGAACACCAGTGGTGCCTAGCCCCAAAGTTAACACCTGTTACCAACTGTAGCAGCTAATAAAAGACTCATTTACTTAGATTTTGATAGTTGTTTTTCAAGAGCCCTTGTGGAAATACAAGTACTTCTGGAAGGCATTTCACATGCACAAAAGTACAAAAGGGGATGGAGAGGGCAGATGGGAGTGCCATCCTCAGCCTGACAGGTTTCATAGTTTTATCTATGGCAGCTTCTAAAATCCAGGAATCACCATTATTGCACTGTGGCTTTACATAAACCTAGATAATTACAATTTAAAAGCCACCTGGGACTTATTAAAAAGAATTACATTTCGGAATATATGAGGGGACTGGTAGCTTGAATGAGGCCAATTATATTGATTTCTTAATTTCTTAGCTCATTTTCTTTGTTTGATGTTTGTTTTTTAGTAAGACTCTGGCTTGGTGTTTGAACACTGCATATTTTATAAACTTGCTACCTCATTATCACTTAATACTACTGAATTAATATCCCCTTCTAGTTCTTTTTAAATCACCATCCTTCCAGAAACTTGGAAAAACTCCTGTGGCCCTGAGTATTGACATTAGAGCATGGAAAGAGGAAGAAAATAATTTTTTGTTGGTAAATAATGATAGCCCTTGAAAAATGGCTTTTTGGACTTCATACTGGCACTACCATCTGCAGAGAGGTATGGAGGAGGAAAGCACTGAACTGCAAGGCAGGAGACTGCATTCCACACCTGGCTGTCCACCACCCCACTGCGTAATCTTCCCCTTCTCTGGTCCTAAATGTCCTCAGCCATGCTATGGGGGATGTGGAATAAAGGATTTCTCAGGCCTCTTCCGTTTAATATCCAGATTCCAATAACCCAGGAGGCCAGTGTTCCACGTGTTGAGATGTTACTGGCATTGAAATGAATCATTCCACTTAGGAGCCTGGAAGTCCTCCGTGTCTTTGTAAGGAGGTTTATTAAACGGACCCAGACAACAAAGGAGATGCAGGACCCTTCGTTTCAAAAGGGCCTCCAATCTAGGTGGGAGACAAAGCTCAAGAGGGCACAGGTAGAAATGAATTTTTAAAAGGTCTAAAGCACATTATCACTACTTTAACTGCGTCCTTTCTGAGAAAAGAGACCTTTGGCTGGCATTTACCTTTGAGCTGCTTACGACCTTTAGCCAAATCGTTCATCCATTTCAGGACTTCGGGATTAGAAATCTTGTCACCATGTGAAGGCTACCAAGGGAAGGGGAAGGAAGGGGAGGAAGAAAGAAAAGGGAAAAACAAAATTTTTATACAGCTGAGTCACACAAAGCCAGTTCAGGAATATATAAAGCCAGGAGAGATGTTCAGGCATGAAATCTCCAGCTGATGGAGTTGTTTCTGGGAAACGGAAAACATTCTGACCTCCTCTATTTTTTCATCCTTGCCAGGGGTATTGCTTCTAAATGCACCTGGCCACCCAGCATTTTCACATAGTCCTAACCCCGCTGATGCCCCTACAACCTATCCCTATCCCTCAATCACTTTGCAGTGCCCCCCCCACACACACAGCCCACACCCCATTCCCAGGCCATTCTCCGCAACAACGCAGATGAGCACACTGATACAAACCAGTGCTTACTACCTGCTTGTGGCCCACATGGTTTATGAGCGGAGGCTCTGCTGACAAATACTGACAAGAGTGGAAGATTCAGCTCCTGTCAGTCAACTCTCCCAGGCTGAAGAAAGGGGACCCCAGAATCTCTAATACCTGACAAAAGTCCTAGCAAGTCAGTCAGGCACCCAGATTCTGATCCTCTCACTATTTACAGACTCAATATCCTACTGGGGCTGGTGTTAAAGTGAAACCTAAGGGGTGATATGTGCGTGACCTGGGGCAAATTATCTGGCATCTCTGTGCCTCACCCTCATCTATCAAATGAGGACTATAATAGCATCTCCCTCACATGATTAATTAATATCTGCAAAGCACTGAAAACAGTTCCAGCTTCATGCTGAACCCTACAGAAAGTGTTAACCATAATAATTACATCTGTAATTCTAGGTATTTCTATTACTAGCAGAAATGGTAGTACTAGTCAGGTCACTACCAGACCTTCAGTGAATAATCTCTTCACTGGTAAACATACATGTATGCATATCCTACAAGCAGCTAACCACACCTTAGATGTGGCAGTAAGAATATATATTTTTATTTTAAAAGGATACGACTCTTGTCAATACAAGTTATTCACCTTTATTTCTGGATTTCTTCTCAGAGCACAAAAGTGGACTTTTTTTTTTTTTTTTTTGAGACAGAGCCTCAAGCTGTTGCCCTGGGTAGAGTGCCGTGGCATCATAGCTCACAGTAACCTCCAACTCCTGGGCTCAAGCAATTCTCCTGCCACCACCTCCCAAGTAGGTAGTACTATAGGCGCCTGCTACAACGCCCAGCTATTTTTTGGTTGCAGCCGTCATTGTTGTTGGGCAGGCCCGGGCTGGATTCAAACCTGCCAGCTTTGGTGTATGTGGCTGGCACCTTAGCTACTTGAGCCACAGGTGCTGAGCCAAAAAGTGGACTTTTTTTTATAGAAAAGAGAGACCAAGAGAGAAGGGTAGCCAAACATACTCAGCCTCAACCCCCAAATATTAGTAAGAAACATTCTAAGTCAAGCCTATGATGGCAACGTAAATGCAGGCTCAGGAAAATTACTGGCTACTTTGAGTTCAAGATATACAAGGAACTACAGAGTCAGGCTCAAGACAACATAATCATACACACAGTTGTGTGAAATGTGTGCGTTACTGGAGACCCAATCTAGGGCCTCTGTCATGTTTAAGGATCACTAAGTCCATGTAACACCAGCAGGTTGTTGATGAGAGGGAGGCGTCAGAACAGGGAAGACTTTTCAAGTTCAAAGGAAAAAATTACCTCTATGACAAGATCATCACATGTACATCATCCTGTACATGGGACTAGATAAGTTCATTTCAAAACACAAAGCATGGTCCTGTCAGTTCTAGAGTAACATAAAAAGCATAGGTTTTTAAGTCAAGATAGAAAAGAAGACTGAAGGAAAATAACTATGATTCTTTCCTGGGTAGGAGACTATGATTTCTATGAAGGAATCTCTGGCTTCAGGACCATGGACAGTAACACGTGCCCCCCCCCTCCCCCCGCCCCAACTCCTACCTGCAAAACAGCTTTGCCTGGTCCTATGTATCTATAGTCTCCTAGAATGTGGCACTGGACCAGTTCCCTGATAAGAATGGTCTAGTATTCTGGCTTTGGGTAACAGTCTGGCTATCAGAACAGTCAGTGTTTTACATCTGGCTTCTCAAAATCCTCAGAGAATTCTCCAATCTGACAACACATCCTGCTAAACGGTGTTCCAGTGGATCTGCTCCACATAGTTAATTCTGTCTCTTGACAGACACGGCAAACACACACACACGTGACCCTAAGCCAGCAACCATGAAAGAAACAGGTTTTCACTATTGCACAGAAGACATAGGAGAAATTTAAGGCTGAATTTTCTAAAAAAAATTAAAGCCTGAAACCAGTTTCTGAAATAAACTTCTTCTTTCCCTACCTTTGAAGGAGCCAATAAAGGAGCTTTAATAAAGTCTATAGGGATGCCAGCTTTCAAACCACATGGGAAATTTTCATATACAAGCTGTAGATTTTCAATATTCTGGTTTAATAACCCCAAAATTACATAGTTTCAGTTTTTCTGTGCAATTAAAAAAGGGGTTCCTGAATCATACCACTGAAGGTACCACTGGAACAGGTTTGTGATCTGCTAACCATGATTCATACGATACATCAGAAAGGTTTCTGGATAGGTAATAAGACCAGAGTTGTTTTCTTGGCTAGATCAATTTATATTTTTCTGTGGGATTCACTTCCCCTATCAGTGCCTTAGTTTCTTCAGTGGTCAGATAAGAACAAACATTGGCTGATCCCTCCCAAGTCCCACATTCTCTGATTCCAGGAAAAATCGACATCTGTTTGAAGCAGCCATTTCTAAGCCCATGAGGCCAATAAGCAAATACATCAAATGCAAAATCAAATGTGAAGAATAAGCAGTTTGGGATAAGGGTATGAAATGGTCAGATTCAACAAAGATGGAAAGATATGTGTTTATACATGGGTATCGGAGAAGTATCGAGGACCAGCAAGAGCTTGGATTCAAAAATTAGCAGTGGGTGCTGTTAATTCCGCATCAGGCTGCCAGGAAGAGAAGCCTTAACACCCAGCAACCATTTGAGGCCCACTGACATGTCAAACGTCTAACCACAGCCTGCCACCCTGACGGGAAGGGCAAGGGGAAGCCCTGTTTCCTGAGACATGCAAGGTTCTGATTATGTGAAAGACTTTTATGCACCTTGAAGCAGCAAGCAGCAGTACTCAGGAAGTTTCCTTCTCCTGCTGCTCCTAAAACCCACCTGCATGTGTTAGACAGAGAGAGTGTCAGAGTCTCTACTCTGCATTTAAAGATTCTTTAGACAAAGGGAGAGGTGCCAGGAAAAATTCTCTTCCCAAACAGGCATCCAAGGTATGTGGCTGCTGGTAAAAACCTCCAATGGAGGATAGGCAGAGACTGACACAGGTAGGCTGTTCAAATGTACCTTATAGATTAAAAGGCTAGCAATATCTAGGACCACTTACTTTCTTTGGGCCAAACACTGTAATAAGCATTTCTATGTCCTTCCTCATTTACAACTCATCAACTTAAGAAGTCACTAGTGACTCCATTTTACAGATGGACAAACTGATACTCAGAAAAGTATCAAGTCCAAAGTCACAAAGTTCTTCAGTAGCTACACTGAATTCAAATCCAAAATAGTCTGATTCAAGAGCCTCCAGCTTTTGCAAAAGTAAAACCACACTGGCTTAACACTCCTCTTTTACTGAGTTGAAGGCCACTGTGGGGAACACAGAACAGAAAGAACAGAAGAGTGCAATACTTCCCACTCTCACCACCCTCCCCAGAATGTATCCCACACTCCCAGGAACTTTCTGATTGTCTCTGTACCAAGTGCTTGGTGAACCTTTAAATATTTCAAGACGTATGAGAGATTATTCCCTGTTCTCTTTTATTCTGATAACAAGCTGTTCTGGGCCCTCTGCCAAAGACCCAATTTATTTGTCCAATTCTACATGAATATGATTTTTCTCTATGCCAAGGTCACCATTAGAGAAAATAAAAGCAACGTTGGCCATCAAGACACTTATGCATGACTCCATCGTTTCCTACATGAGAAAAAACAGGCTCAGGTCTGTGCCACTGCAGTACCAGCACGGGCACTGTTGTCTATCTGATGGGATAGGACAGTTCAGGGTTTGTTCTTAGGAGTGGGCCTTACCCAACGTCACTCAAGAGGTTCCGCTCATCAACCAACAAGTACTTTAATGTCGAAGAAAACATCTCCCGCATTCTGCTACACAGTAGGAAATTCTGCTCTTGAGTCCTTAAGTTCTTACCAAAATGCAATTGAGAAAAGACTTTTTAAAAAATGAGTCCACAATTTAAAAACTTTAGAAATTTCGGTCCTTGAAAAACTAGTGACAATAAGTTTCCTTGGGGGAAGAAAAGGAAAACTAATAATCAAATACATGTGGAAATATGAGTTGTAATTAATCCACCCCTGGAAACTAAGTCAGCAGAGATCAACAAGACAGACCCAGAATGGGAACTCAATTTACAAGAGGTGCTGGGTTGGCCAATGGGAACAGTGCTGTCCCCTGGGAAGGAAAATCTACATACCTCTGACACAATCCACCCCTACGTCCATACCCAGGGTCCTTACCCGGTACTTCTTTTCTTGTTCAAATTTTTCCTCAAATTTCCTAATTTTCCGCTTGAGGCTCTGGATGTGCTTGGTGAGTTGGGTGATGGTCTGTGCCTCCTTACCATCTCCACAGCCACATCGCGAAGAACTCCGGGGCCTGAGATGATTACAAGGAGGAAAGAGCATCAGAAAGGGTGGTCTCCGGGTAAACACTGCCGCTGCTCATACACCAAGATGGCTGGGTTATCAGAGATGCCTGGAAGGCACTTCATTATTTGATGAGGCTACCATGGTGGCATCTACTCATTGATGGAGACCCTTGATCCATTATGGGAAGATGTCATCAGGGACTTTAACTGTAAAACAGCAAAATATTAGTCTGGGAAATGTATTTCCTAAAGCTTAGAGGAGGCCAATTTAAGACTCAGAAGAAAGAGCCCTTTTGAGGCCTTATCCTCAATAGGATGCACGAGTCACACCAACATTGTCAAGGAAGATTTAAGCAAGTGGTTCATTTTTTTGGTTGTGTTGTTTTGCTTTTTGGAGTTTTTGGCCAGGGCTGGTTTTGAACCCGCCACCTCTAGCATATGGGGCCAGCGCCCTACTCCTTTGGGCCAGCACCCTACTCCTTTGAGCCACAGGCGCTGCCCAGTTGGGTTTTTTTTGTTTGTTTGTTTGTGACATAACAGAACCTTTTGAATATAGTGACAAGAATAGGCCCTTTGTTCAGAAAATGCATACACCCTTTCACATGACACACTTTACATGTGATAGCAATAATTCACCTACTCCCTCAAGTTCATCAATAGACAGATGTTCATGAACCCAAATATGGATAAATTTAAGAATAATAGCATATGTTTTGAGAAACTAGAGATTCCTTGGGCAGATTTTTAGCCAAAAAATTCTGAGTTTTAGCTACAGATTGAAGTTATCTGTGGAACTTAAAAATAAATAACACAGAGTTCCTCGACTTCACTCTAATCTCAAGTGCAAATTCTAAATGGAGTGTCTGAGGGGGATAGGCATCTGGTACAACATACATAAACATATATATTTGGCGGGGAGAGTAGCTATTGTAAACTACCACTTGTCTAGAATCTAAGAGAACTGGAGGTGGATGACTCCCAAGTGTTCCCACAATCCTCTACTGATGCTGCCATTGCACATGGAAAGAATACGGAGTTCATCAGGAATGATGTTCCTAGGCCAGGCCTGGAGGCGCAGGCCTGTAATCTCAGCACTCTGGGAGGCTGAGGAGAGTGGATTGCTTGAAGTCAAGAGTTCGAGACAAGCCTGAGCAAGAGGGAGACCCATCTTAAAAAAAAAAAAAAAATAGTAGGGCATTGTGGCAGGTGCCTGTAGTCCCAGCTGCTTGGGAGGCTGAGGCAAGAGGATTGCTTAAGTCCAGGAGTTTGAGGTTGCTGTGAGCTGTGATGTCACAACACTCTACTGGGGGCAAGAAAGGGAGAATCAAAAAAAATGATGTTCCTGATAATTTGTTCATATGCATACTTAACTCAAGATTCTGGTTATTTCACCAAAAAAATGTTCAAACAATGTGAGCCCCAAGGGTTACCTGCCTCTCATGACCATTTCCTCCTGAGATATTAAGACCTGAAACAGAAGTCCCAACCCAAAAATATACTTCTGTTTGCCATTTATTGTCTGGTCTTGCAGTTACGTTAGGCTGGCATGTTTACACACACTCAGACACATATGTCATTGTAGTTTATAAATACGGCATTTGGAAAACTGCATGAAATGAAGATTAAAAAAAACAGTTTTCTTACATCATAAACTGCTGTGTGCTGGGTGGAGATGGGGCTGACTCTGGGTCTAGGTTGAATCTCTGGCTCTGGCTGAAGATGGAGCATCGGGGTGACAGCAGCGGGTTGTCACCGTCAGTGATGTGATAGAGCAGCCTGCTGGTCCCCACAGACTGGAGGTCGTCTGGTGTGCTGTCGGCTTCATTCTGCCCGTCTTTGTGGACTGGCGTGGGGTCTGGGGAAACAAGACAAATCATGAAGACTCAGAAGTGACAGAGGGCTTGAGACTGTCATGTTCCTGAATAAACATCATAAACATTCATTATAATGGCTTGCTCTTTGTCATGTCTTCTTTCTGGGGATATGAAAAGCTTTCAAAATACTGTCATGTTTGTTCTGACCAAACCTGGATGGAAAAGATTACAAAGCCGCCAACAACAAAAAATGGAAACAAATTATTTTGGGATGAGTTACACAGCCAGCATAGCCCCAAACTCTAACAATGCTCTTTTTATTTCATAGGATTTGCATACGTTGGAGGATATGTAACAGAGCCTTAGAGTAAATAAAAAGAGAACAATATAATAGAGCTAGAGCAAAAGATTACAGGTTATGAGGAAGAAAAGGGGTAACAGAATTGCCAGTGAAAGAAGGGAGGGGAGGGCCGGGGGAAGAAGAGAGTGGAAAAATCCAAGGAGGAAGAGAGGGAAGAGAATTGTTCCTCAGTCATCAAAAATGATGGCTAACTCTGCTTGTCACCAAGGAATGACATTCAGAATATGCTAAATGGAAACCACAGTGTTCCACACAATGCAGTAATGATTCCATTTCATATAACAAGTATACATTGATGTGTACAAACAAATGCACTGTAAGATCAAAAAAGTTACATAGCTATTACCGAGGATGATAAAATTAGGTATAATTCTGTTTTCTTCTCCAAAATTTTATGTAGCACTTTATTCTGGGCAAAACAAAGAACAAAACCCACACCAAATCCTCTTCCTCAGCTGGCCAGTTCTGTGCCTGAATTCTCACAAGGATCAAGCCCTGTTATGTTAGCTCCCCAGCCCAGGGTTAGTCCAGACGGTGGTCAGCCCTGTGCTGTGGAGGTGAGGGCAGGGGCCATGGAATGTCAGCCAGGGATCATTAGGACACTGAGTCGGGGTGGCCAGGGAAGGGCCCACACTGAGTCATGTACAGAAGCAGCCTTCTTGATTTTGCCCAGCAGTCAAGACGGGACAAGCCAAGGCTTCCTCTTACCCCCTACTTCCTAACGAAAGGGAAACAAAGATTTTCTAGATGAATAAGCAGAATCATAAAATACTGACAATAGGCTTTTCCAAAATAAACATTTATCACAATTTGGTATCAGATGAATCTAAATCAGATTTAGAAAGGCTCCTTGTTCTCTAGAGCTTGAAATGCAATTTGCTTTGTGTGATATCAAAGGTCTGATTAGGTCCCTCTGTGTTTTCAGCTGGCTTCTCCCCGGTGGGCTGTAGACTAGGAGAGTTGATAATGCCTCCTGTGGCGCCTCTGCAGCTCATGACAGCACGTCTGTCAGCACTGGGGCTGATCAGGAATGGACATGGGGAGGGCACACGGGCACACAAGGAAACGTGTGCCTGTGTGACAGGCAGAAATCACATACGCAACACCACACTATGGTTTGGCAGGAACTCCCCAGAGAAACAGGGATAAGATCTATTAACCAATAAGTCATAACATATAATAATAATCACCTTCCAAACCCACCAGGGTTCCTGTATAGGTTTCTCACCAGATTCTTTTCTTAAACCAATAGGCTCTAAGAGCTGCATTTTTATTCATGTTACCTATTTCTTAGAAGTACCTTCTATAAGAGTAATAATGAGAAAGAAAATAATCCTTCGCAAGCACGTGGGACCACCATATTTTTACTGAAATGGAAAAGTTCTGAGCCTTCCAGCCTTCAGCTCAGCTGTGGCCCGAGGAGCAAAACTAACACAAGTCTCTGGTTGCTGTTCTGTGATGCTGAGGTAGAAGCACTTGAGATCCTCGCCACATAACCATGAAGCAGAGCCAGGGAAAGAGCCCACAGAATCCTACAATGTAACTTCACAGAATCACAGGTCACTACAAACGGATTTTTTTTTTTTTTGAACTGCATTGCAAGAATAATTGTAAACCTCCATTTACATGGCATCTGCTTTCCCCTGGGCATTTGCATAATTTACCATACTGCCTAATTAACACCCTAACCTCTCTTCCCTCCAATCCACTATTGAAGGAAGCTGTGAGCCAGAAAGATCCCAAAGCAACCAATTGAAAAACAACAGCGTCAAAAACCAGTAATTTGGTAGAGCTTCAGTCCTTTGTCCAAACTCAGTATTGGTGATGAGAATAGGCTTAATTAAATCAGTGTTTGTGTGTCCACTTGTGTGGATAGAATTATTGATGTCTTTGTTCAAAAGAGGCCAGTGTGGATTCAGAGCCAGCACTGTTGCTGTCCTGGGAAAAGCCCAGGCCACCCTTCTAGATCCTGCTTCCTGATATGGAGCTGAGGGTAAGATTAAACTAGGGTGGCTTCCCATGGTTCCCTGGGGGCACATTACTTTTTCTTCCAAAGGAAGGGGCAGCTTGTCCCTTCATGTGACATGGTAGGTACAGGAAGTATAGCAGGCAGGAGGGCCTGTTCTTTCTCCAGGGTCCCAGCCAGTGTCCCCTCCTCCCTCCATTTCTTCGGTTGACTCATCTTACAAGGCAGCAGTAAGAAAAATAAAAGATCTGCCGTACACCATGATGTCCATACAGTAGCCTCCCCTTTTCCACAGGGCATCCATTCCAAGACCCTTAGTGGATGTCCCCAGCTGCTGATAATACCAAACCCAATATATACTATGTTTTTTCCTATACACATATATGTGCTTATGATCAAGTTTAATTTATAAAGTTAGCACAGTAAAAGATTAACAATAACAATAATAAAATAGACAATTATACTGTAATAAAATCTATGTGACTGGAAAGACGTACAGAGAATCCTCAAAGAGCTCAAAATAGACCTTCCATTTGATCCTGCAATCCCATTACTAGGCATCTACTCAAAAGAAAAAACTACTTTACCATAAGGACATTTGCATTCGATTGTTTATCACAGCTCAATTTACAATCGCCAAGATGTGGAATCAACCCAAGTGTCCATCAACCCATGAATAGATTAATAAACGGTGGTGTACATACACCATGGAATACTATTCAGCCACAAAAAAAGATGGAGACTTTACATCTTTTGTATTAACCTGGACAGAGTCGAAGAACATTCTCTTTGGTAAAGTATCACAAGAATGAAAATGTATCCAATGTACTCAATATGAATATGAACCCAATAGACAAACTAATACAAGCCCACACAAGAGAAAAATTCAACTTAATTCAAATTGGGAGGAGAAGAGGGGGAGAGGGGAGAAGAGTGGGAGATTAGTGTGCTGCCAACTCATGGGCACAATGTAAGGGCATAAGGCACACCTCCTGGGTATGGGACACAACAACAAGAACCTTACCTAACAAATGCAAACATTGTTACCTAATAATATCTGTACTCTCATATTAATCTGATATAAAAAAAAGAGTTCATATCAATAAAACATTTAAACAGTGACAAATAAATAAAGAAAAGCAATGTGAATGTGGTCTCTCTCTCTCTCAAAATATAGTACTGTACTGTAGTGTAGGTAACTGAAACTGTGGGAAGCAAAGCCATGGCTAAGGGGAGACTGTAGCTAACAACACTGGATTGTACACTTAAACATTCATTGAAAAGGCTTGGCGCCTGTGGCTCAAGTGGCTGGGGTGCCACATACACCTGAGCTGGTGGGTTCGAATTCAACCCAGGCCTGCCAAACAACAATAACGGCTACAATGAAAAAATAGCCAGGTGTTGTGGTGTGTGCCTGTAGTCCCAGCTGCTTGGGAGGCGGAGGCAGGAGAATCACTTAAGCCCAGGAGTTGGAGGTTGCTGTGAGCTGTGATGCCACAGCACTCTACCTAGGGCAACAGCTTAAGGCTCTGTCTCAAAAATAAATAAATAAATTCATTCATTCATTCATTGAAAGGGTAGATCTCATAGTATGTGTTCTTACCATCAGCATAATAAAAAATTCTTCTTTTTGCTTCTCTGTATTTCTAAAATTTCCATAACAATTATGTCTTAATTTTATGAAAAGGAAAATATAACATGCTAATGCAAAATTTGAAAAACAACATTCCCAAGAGAAATGAGAAACTACCCTGGGGTTGTTTCAACAGACAGCAGATTGTTAGCTTGACTCATAGGTCTACCATCACTAAAGAGACTTTGGAAATGATGAACCTTTTTAAACCTCAGTGTTTTCATCTGTCAAATAGGAGAATAATGGTGCCTGCCTCACATGACTAAGTGAAGATGAAATGAAATAAAACTGCATCCCTACAGTACATATACATATTTTTTTATTTCAACATAAAGATTTCTAATGCCATCTTAATCCTAAGCAAAGATAGCCAAGAAGTCATGAATTTGATGGACTAGTTACATTTTTAAAAACTGATACACATTAAAAATAAATTCTTCTTAAAACTAACAATGTTCACCCATGCATCCTTGTATTAACATATTTGGTGAAAGATTAGGATAAGGCATAGAAACTCCTAAACACAGTATCCATGAAAACCATCATGTTCATAATTAGTACTGGGAAAATAAAGAAGTTCTCTTACTAAACACCAACTTCACCAGGAGCCCCTGTAGGGTTAATATGCGAAATGAGAACCAATATACCCCTTAACATGTTGCCTCTCCTATCAATCCTTATTTATCTCTAATATTTATGGAAGAACTCAGTCCTCAACCTTCTTCTGAGAGTCTTGGCATGTATTTAATCTTTAAAACAACCACACGAGGATGGGAGTAAAATGTTCCCTATTTAAATTCAGTAGGGAAGGTCGTATAACTCTACTGATTTCATGTAGGGAGAGTTTGGTTGGGCAGTGGAAGCCGCCATGTTTCTGGTGGCCCATGCACTGAGCAGGAGGAACAGAAAGAAGAAAAGTCATTATCTTCAGTGTGTGAAGGCCAAGAGATCACTTCTGATCTGGCAGGAGCACATGCTATGTCATAGCTGTTGCATGAGTCAGTCAGATTTTAAAATATACCTTTCTAATGTGAATTTTTAAAGCAGTGCAAAATTTAAATAGATTTCTACCTGCAAAAGT